CAATCATTGTGGTTCCAAGTTGGGTTTTTAAATTGTTTTTCACTTGAAAATTCATCATAATTTCATATACTTTACAAACCAACCATATGTTTGGTTATATCACCTTATATTATCCAATACGAAATTAGGATTGTCATTAGCCGGAGGTTAAAATTCTTCCAAAGGGAAAACACCGTCCTTACGAAGAGAATTTCTCACGTTCACCACTATTATTTGTCTATACTTACTTCATTGACTACAATATATTGCACTGAAGTTAGCCCAATCGCAGTGCAGAAAGATCCGAACTGACTTGTTATACCCATCAAGACGGCAGCATGATTTGGTGATAGATCAAGATGGTTGAACAGAAAACCACTGATATTGGCGCTCAGAAATCCAAATGTTACTATTAATAAAACCACAGCTTTGGAAGCATCTTCAGGGCCACTGTTGCCGAGTATAATGAGAAGAAGACATGGAGCTAATGAACCTGAAAAGTAAAAATAAAAACTTTGGCCATCTTTCAAACAATGTGCGACTCGCTCACTATTCCCTATTAAAATTCCAAGGGTTGTTCACCGCTCCGGGATTGAAGTGACGACGCTGTAAATGGGGAAAATAACGGCCCCCCTCCCAATAAAAATCGACCTGTCTGAGCGTTTTTTCGGATTTGCAAGATTAGTACCCAAAACCTCCATGTCAAGTTTTTGACGGCCCACCCTGTATATACCACAATAAGTTAAAGATATGGAGCTACAAAGGCCATTAAAACGGACAAAACTTACATTCTCATGTAAGTTGTAATGGTATTTTACAAAATTAAAATATTTTGGAAATGTTTTTTCTACAAGGCAAAAACTTTCTTTCAAATAGGCGGCCCAACATAAACAAAAATACCAACGGTTGTTGGTAAATGAAAGGGGAAGAATTTATGTATATTATATTAATATTCTCTTTCGATGTATCTAATGGCCCCCTTACACGACAAATAAGGGGTAGCTTATGAAACGAGCAAATCTCTTTGCGAGTTAGTGACTTCATTATTCCACTTGCCCGAATCTTATTTATTCGTTCTGCGACTCATTTCACAAATTTCGTGTTCAGCGCAACTTATGAATGCAACGAGCTTTTTACGACCTTAGTCGTTGTTACTTCGACAAACTTACCTATGGTGTGCATTACTTTTCTTGTAGTGCCTATGCTACATATGCTTTTCGATATGAGCATGTCGGATATAACACTGAACAGGAACGACATGATCCATTTGACAATATGAGGGAGTGTACTCAGTGCTCCATTCTGTAAATAAAAATAAGTAAAATATGATATTTTGGCTTTATTTCACAAGTTCGGCTTGTATGATCATTGAATTTGTTGAAATTTTGATACCGTGGAACTTGAATTTGTACTATTTTTTGGATAGTTTGAAAATGTGTTGTAGCTATACTTTCTGGAAAACCACGAGGTCTGTTGAAAAAATAAAGTGAATTTTGATTTTTCTCGAAAAATATCCATTTATTGGTCTATACTGATATTATTAATGTGGAAGTTTGATGCATGTATATATGCATGTTTGTGACTCCTTCACGCCTAGACGACTGAACGAATTTAGATGAAACTTTACATAAATACAGCTTATACATCAGACAAACGTATAGGATACAATTTACAGACATTTCGTCTAATTTTTGTCACAATATAACGGTAGGTGAGACGGAGACATTATTGGTCCCTGAAAGCTGTTTTGGCCGATGCAGTTACATGGAGATAATGTACCGTAATGTACTTGTAAACATTTTTCTGACTCAAAGTACAATCA